TTTAGGTGGCTCTGCGCCACCTAAAAACAGGTCGTGGAGAACATTGGGCACGGATCAAATATTGACTTTCAAATTATCTGACAATTTGAATAATATTTAGCTCTATTTGACTCCACTAATCTTACATTTTGTTATACCATGTCAAAAAGACCCTGTAATGATGGTGTTGTACAGACTTAACTGCTGCCACCCACACATCTGTTTTGGGTGAAGATGACAGGACCAAAGTGTGACCATGTACGTTTCTAGCATAAGTATTGCTGCACGTCAGGTTGAAGTTAGTTTTGTGTGATATGATTGTCATGAATTAAAGATAAAGCCACAAGTTGCAGTGGAGGTCTCTAAGCATCAGTTGCCTTGTTTGGTGATGGGAGGTGGAGGGGGTGTGTCTGGGAATTTAAAGACTGTCATGTTAGCCAGAGGTCATCCAAAGGTCACCGAGAGGTCAGTAGGACAGTGTCAGGATAGGGCCAGTGGAAATGGCTAGACACAGGCAAGCTCACCTGAGGATTTGACTTTTTTTATTCCCATACTCAATACATATAAATAATGTTATACACAATACATGAAAAATATTTCTGTATAGATGTGCTCAGCTCAAGATTATGTATCATAATCAGATTTTAAAAAAAAACACTGAATTGTGGAATTCTTGTCCTGATGCCATTGAAGACAAGTGTGAATGAATTGGTGCTATTAAATAGGGAATACAACAGGAGCCTCTTAGTTTAATTCGTCAGAACACCATTAGCAAATTGATGAGCGCTCGATCTCCATCCATAAGTCTACACAGGGTTGTGAGAGTGTTTATGGTAAGGGTGTTGCAATACTGTTAACTCTACAGAATAGTGGTCAAAGTGCTGATGTTGTACAGCTTTTAAATGAGCTTTTGGGACTTGGCAGTTTAAAGCTCAGAGGTAGTGATTTTTTTTTTTTTTTTCCAAAAAAGACTAAGGATGCTTTCTCTTTCCCACCCAGTGCATTACTTTTCAGTAGCGAACCCAGTGAATGTTCTAGAAACCCCTTTTATGCTGGTATTGTCGTGCTGAAACAGCCCAGTCAAATGGTGAGATAATTTCAGACTTTCGTTCTTCTGAATTTTCAGTGGAGACCGTGTTCTATCTCTGACTGACTGAATAGATGTGTTCTTTTAATCCCTGGTTCTGTGATGAAGAATTGCTTAGGACTTGCCTGCATAACGGATTAGAATATTCAATTTTTCCTCATCTTTAAGTTGGATATTAAAAAGAAATCAAAAATAGAAAATATTTCATTATTTCCCTGGACCTGGAGTAATTGGTGTATTATTTCCCCAGGACCAGAAGTTGAGTACCAGCCAATCCAGCAAACTGGATTCCCTGTGCAGCAACAAGTCTACTATCAGCAACAGCAACAACAGCCACCACAACAAACGCAGCAGCAACAGGAACAGCCACAAGTATGTAATCCCTCCACCTCTCTCTCTCTCTCTCTCTCTCTCTCTCTCTCGAATGCGCCCTGTCTCTCATTCTCACACACATACACATGCACTCACATATGCAGGTCAAGACAACAGCATCTGTTCCACCATGAAGCACACTTCTGCTTGTAGAGCCATTGGGAGCATTAACAACCAGTTGATATGTGGACTAACTATAGGGAAACTTGAAAGCAAGCTGCATAATCTCCTTAAAATTGTGTTATTGATTTTCTTTCTCCTACGCTTTTCCAGCAGGGGCAGAGCAATTTAATCTTGGTACATGTTTTCAAGTATTTGATCCATGGACTTGTTAGTCCGAGTATCATCAGGTTGTGAATGCTCCTATGTCAGTGCAAGGTGTCAAGTACAGAAGTAGTTTCATTTCTGCATGTTTTCCAAACAGCTCTTTACATCAAGAGAGTGCTAATTAAAAGCTTCCACCTGATAATTTTATTTGACAGCATGTCTTCCATTCTACCTCCTGTACTAATGGATTACTTATTATTTCTCAATCCCTGAGTAGGAGTTAGTTAATTCATTTCATTAACAAGGCAGCAGTGTCCAAAAAACAACATTATGCTTTCAAAAACAGATGAAGAAAATGGAAAACAACTTGGACAAGAAAGTTGTGGTTGGTTCTTTTCAGTATTTGTTTCTGTCCATACAGAAAACACATGAAAGAAAATGGAAAACAACTTAGGTTCATTTTAATATTTGTTTCTGTCCGTACAGAAAACACATGAAAGAAAATGGAAAACAACTTGGACAAGAAAGTTGTGATCGGTTCATTTCGATCTTTGTTTCTGTCCCTGCAGGTTCGTACAGCTATAGTGTCAGCCACTGGAGCCACCACTCATGATCTAAACAAGCCGCCCCTAGCTCCTCAGTCAGCCCAGCAGATGGCGGCACAGAACAACCCCTCGGGACAACAGAGTATGGCGGCACAACCTCAGTACCTTTATATGCCAGCCACTAACCAACAGAGTATACGACAGGTGAGATATTGTTAGATTATATGAGACAACAGAGTATGGCGGCATAACCCCAGTACCTTTATATGCCAGCCACTAACCAACAGAGTATACGACAGGTGAGATATTGATAGATTATATGAGACAACAGTATGGCAGCACAACCTCAGTACCTTTGTATGCCAGCCACTAACCAACAGGGTATACGACAGGTGAGATATTGATAGATTATATGAGACAACAGTATGGCAGCACAACCTCAGTACCTTTATATGCCAGCCACTAACCAACTAGGCATACAACAGGTGAGATGCTGATAGATATATGAGATAACAGAGTATGGCGGCACAACCTCAGTACCTTTATATGCTAGCCACTAACCAACTGAGTAAATGACATGTGAGATATGAGTAAATTTTGAGACTTAAATAAAATAATTTGATGTTTAAAGAGCAAGAGACTATTTAGATTTCAGTGGAGTACATGGCTGGTAAAGCTGTTTGTCAGAGGTGGGAATTAACTGGATATTTTTGTCTTTTAATTGCACATCTAATTCAGAAAGATCGAAGAAAAAAAGGGGCAAAAACACTGAATTTAAAACAGACTGGAGTACAGGAAGTTGAAATGGATTTGAAATAGTCATCATTTTGAAACTAAAAATAAAATTGATAAGATTATGTACAAAGAAGTCAACAGAGGACATGCCAGGTTGTACGTGTTAATAACAATGTCCTGAGATGTGACCTGAAGGTGCAACTGTCTGTGTGTTGAAATTGCTGCCTATCTCACCTAACACAATGTGACCTGTATCTACACACACACACACACACACACACACACACACACACACACAGCCAGCATACTGATCTTTTCAGGTGTTTATCCCTGATTTTTCAAACCAAGGACCAGTTTAACAATAGTTTCAAAGATGAATTAAGTACAGAAAATAAGTTTACTCTAAATATATTTCAGAAGGCAAAAATATTAAATATAATACTGGTCACTTATGTAGGTCTGCTAGAGGTTATGCGGAGACTGGCATTTTGCCCTTTTTTGACAAGGACATCTTCAGGGAACTGTCACCACAAGTGACACTGCTGCATAACATTTAGCACATCCATGTGAGTGTCCAGTATTAGATTGGATATTTTTGCCTTATGAACATCACAACTGAATGAATCATAATTTACATCGAAAATAAAGTTCATTTTATAACTTTTTTTATCAACTGCTGAAAATTTAAAAATAATTTCACCAGTTATATCATGCAGTGCAACCTTATATACTTACTAAATTAGCAAACTAAAAAGTAAAGCCTGCCATATATAATCCAACTAATTATGTAGAAAGAAGTGCAGAGGTCAACACCCTTTCCTGGTATAAGGTTTTATTGTAATCAGCAACCTTGAGGAAGGCTGTTAATCTTACTCAGAAATTACACAGACTGTACAAATACTCCCACGTCTCCCTGAACATACATGGTGCTCCTTAAGTTACTGAACTTAAAGGTAAAATGTAAAGTGGAGTAACTTTTTGTTTTATTTTTACTTTTTATCGTCTTAATTGTATTAAAGATGTTAGTTTCAAGTAACATATTAGTATAATTAAGATGATATCCTTCCTTTCACAAAGTCCTGTTTTTAAACAAAAAAAGATTTAAATCTTTGAGATTATGAAAGATAAAAATATATCTGGTGTGCCGAGATTTTAGAGTCACCCTGTACTGTGCATACTTGCCTGTTAATCCTTGCTGTGATTTGAAAAGCTGATGATTAGAAAAAGTTATCCCTGTCAGAACAACAGGTGTTGAAAAGTGAATTCCTCTTTTATGAAGCTTTGTAAAATCACAGTTTTATATCCACGGTTATACCAACAAACTTTCATATGTTTGGCATTTATGTCAATTTTTGATATCAATTTTTCATTAAGTAAATACTTGGTGCATATGTGACCCAAGTTAATATTAACTATATACACACAATAATTATATAAGGTGTGTATGAGCCGTGTTCAGACAAGTGGTCATATTGGACTGACTGACAGCGGTAATTCATGATTAGGTAGCATAATCGAATCTCAAGGGATTAAAGATCGGAGATAACGTGGTCTCATTTCTCTTACAGAAGATCCCCTGGATCACTGGTAAATTCACTTTTTTCTCACTGTTCTAAGATAAGTTGTCACAATTTGGGTTTAAATGCGCCAAGACTCAAACCAGCCAAGTGTGGGTAAACATTGGACTTTTGCTGGCTGTTTAACGATAAACTTCTCCCTCTCAGAGCATTTGAGGACCTGTATGTATTGCAGAGAGAGATAAAGTTTGGATTAGAAATCCATGTCTCGGGGCTGCTATCTTACCGTCAAGGGCCCGGGCCTCTGAATCAGCAAGCGCAAAGTTTGTACAGCATTACTCAAGTCCAGTACTGATTAAGATTCCTATTTAACTAGGGGATATTTTAGATCTTGGTGCCTGTACTAAGAGATGTTTTGTCAGACGTGGCACAAGTGTAAGGACACAGTGGCCATGGGCGCGTTATTCCTCTGGTAACTGGACTGGTTCGCTCCCTCATGGGGCACTTGCTAAGCTGTCATGTGCGACAGATGCCTCAGGACGATGAGGGTGGTAATGATGATGAGGGTGGTAATGGCGGAAGAGAGGTACGAGCGTGGGTGGATGCTTTATGAGATGATTGACAGTTGGGGGCAATCCCGATATTGTGGTTTGCCCAGATTTGCTCTACCAAATTCAGTGTGAATTTGACCGTTTTGAAATTAGGTACCATTTTGATGTTTTCCAACACAAGTCAAGTTATATTTTCTTTGAAGAAGTGGAAATAACACATTTCTCAGTGATGGAAGCCCTTGGCTTTGTTTTCTATTGATTGTTGGCTGCTACCGGGGATCAGTTCATGGAAGTCAGTCGTCGGCACTGTGAATGTGAACAGATGGCAGGCCATCCAAGTAGAGGCTGAAGGTCACATTGACATATTTTGTCTTTTATAAAATGACTGCTGTCCATCTTTCTGATAATGACATTGTGAGGAAATAGGTAGCTAGGAAAAATTTGTAAGTAAATGAATAGAAAGATACGTAGGTAGATAAATATGTAATAAGATACATTTATAATTTGAAATAAACTGTAAATCATCCTTTTCAAACCGCAGTCAACCTATTTCTTGCCAATGGGCCTTTGTTGACAAATGAACATGTGTCACATAGCTGAAGCGCAGTGACGTGGTGACATTATCCTCTTTCCTCCTACACAGATGTCTTAGTTCACATGCAGAGAGCGCCTGACGCTGCACAGATGGTTTATTTATTGAGGGGATTAGCATTTGACTTCACACATATGCTTCTGTACGGGCAGACACAAGTCATTGGATGTATAGGAGAAATAGGGCCACGTGAGTCGTATTTCGGGGACATCATGTGTGAAATGGTTGACTGCTGTTTTTGTGGATTATGTCCCTAGAATCTATGTCATTGACCCAAAAATAAGGTAAATGTGACGTGGAAAGTAAAATGTGTGGTTTGAAGGAATAGTGTCATGAGATAAATGTAAACTGTGAATGATATTCTTCTTGTCAAAAGCCGTGAGGGTATTATCTTCAAAGTTACTACAGCTGTTTGCTGCTTTCTCCAGGATAAAACTGAAAAAAAAAATGATGATTATGACACTGTGTGATTATATTGGTTCTGTTGTTAAAGTAGATATGCTGGCAGTAGTTACAGGTGAACCAGAATTTTAGATCTATATTATTTTCCTTCACATCAATGTGGAATTCATTATTATTGATGTATTCAGAGTAGATATAATGCCTTGTGAATTATTTATGTGACATATAATGGGCTACAGACAGTGATATTAAGTTCATTGAACAAGAAAATTAACTTTGTACGATATATATATATATATAAAATAGTGCTGATAAATTTTCAAAAGTATAATGTGGGGTGATTATATTTTTGCTCTCTGTATACAACTCATTATTATTAATGCAGGATAAAGTTCATAAGGTTCAACACGTAGAAAGGTAATGAATGAAAAATTTCATGCAGCTTTTAATTATGTTCTGTATGCCATCAAGATGATCTTAAAATATCTTGAAAGATTTTGGTATTATTACACCACCAAAGCATCAATTTGAGATGATAGAAATATAGGAAGAAAATGAATGCAGTGTTCAGCTCATTGTTTAGGGGCATTATATGTGCTCTAAAAATGTTTGATCTTTGAACCAGGATAGCGTTCAGCAGTATTTAACAGAAAACAAAACTTTTATTGGCATCTTAAATGTAGTATCTCTATTTGTTATTAATGTTAGCCTTGTGAACTTGAGAGAGNCAAAATTCACTTTGTACGATATATATATATATATATATATATATATATATATATATATATATATATATATATATATATATTATATATAAAATAGTGCTGATAAATTTTCAAAAGTATAATGTGGGGTGATTATATTTTTGCTCTCTGTATACAACTTATTATTATTAATGCAGGATAAAGTTCAAAAGGTTCAACACTTAGAAAGGTAATAAAGGAAAAAGTTTCATGCAGCTTTTAATTACGTGCTGTATGCCATCAAGATGATCTTAAAATATCTTGAAAGATTTTGGTATTATTACACCACCAAAGCATCAATTTGAGATGATAGAAATATAGGAAGAAAATGAATGCAGTGTTCAGCTCATTGTTTAGGGGCATTATATGTGCTCTAAAAATGTTTGATCTTTGAACCAGGATAGCGTTCAGCAGTATTTAACAGAAAACAAAACTTTTATTGGCATCTTAAATGTAGTATGTCTATTTGTTATTAATGTTAGCTTTGTGAACTTGAGAGAGAGAGATCAAAATGTACAAAATCATACCACTTCACTCACACTTCCATGTTTTCTCGTTCTCTCCACAGCCGTTTTTCCGAAGCCCGCAGCCCACGATGTCTCAGCGCATGCCCAACCAGGGGCAGGCGACGCGCCAGATGCAGGCGCAGTACGGCACTAGTCCTAACCAGCAGTACCCGTACAACACCATGCCCCAGATGTATATGCAGCAGCCCGGCCAGGGCACCTATATCCCACAGCCACAGCCCATGGTCATCCAGGTGAGGGTCCACAAAAGATGAAAGATTGTGAAAATGTGCTGGATTTATGTGGAAATCTTAGTATTTTAGTTTTGAGTTTTGGCCACCTCAACCCTAATATAGATCTGTGTGGCATTTTTAAGAAAGTTTTCTGTCATTGTGTGGGGTTCATTTTATGAAAATGTTCAAACATGTACTTCAGTTGTTACTTTTGTGTAAATCCTCCTCTTGCCTTAGTGTCTGTTAACAGATGAATTGCATGACTGAGGGGATTGTGGAGAATGTATCATTGTCATGGTAACCATCTAACAGACTTTGAAAGTCCAGATATTGAATTTTTTTTTTTTTTTTAATTGTTGGCCAGTTAAGTTAACTGTTGAGTTGAGGTAGAAGTTTGCTGCGCGTACCATTAATACTTAAGGGTCAGTTGAAATTTTAGTCTAACAAACTCCTACTTTCACTTTCACTTTCAGTATCAAGCCCCTCAAGGCATCCGGCCCCAGTACATCACCACGTCTCAACAGGGTCAGTTTGTGGCGACCCAGCCGTATTATCAGACGGGACAAACCAGTCAGCCCACGCCCACGTCAGAGTACAGCTCAGCACAGACCACCACAGCGCCTTTCTTCCAGAAAACACAGATACGACAACCTACACCCACTTGTGAGTACATGATGATAATATTAATAATATAATCAGCATATATATATAATGTACTAATCAAATGAATTTTTGTGATGAGCCATCTTTCACAATGAGTGCAGCTGATCTGTTTGCCTGTCACCCAAAATATCACAGTAATCACCAGCAAAAATTTTATCATAAATTATATGCTGAACTTTATAAAACTAAATGGAGCATGTTTTACTGTAAATTAGGTCTCTTATCAGTTCCCTGTATATACTTCTATTCCAGTGTATTACCCTCCCTCCAACCCCCAACAGATGACACTACAGCAACCAGCGCGGCCGCCCTCTCAACCCTCAGCCGCCATGACTCCGCAGCAAACGTATCAGAAGCGGGAGAAGAGGATCATCCAGATCGTGAACCCGAACACGGGCAAGGACATCACGGAGGACATCACACACATCAGCGGCGCTCAGAAATCAGGCACACCTCCGCTGTCTGACAGCTCTAGTGCCAGGGACACACCAACTAGTTCAGTAAGTTCAGAAGTTTCTGAATTATGAGTCTTTTTACTGGACATGTACTATTGAGAAAGAAAATTTAATTGTTTCTGTGCTTGGTGCCAAATAGCAGCACTAGCAAAGACAATTCCAAAAATTGGACTATGAAGTGACCCAGGAAATGGGCCCATCTTGTTATGTTTGAACAGAGAGACTTGGTTTTAGATTATGCCCTGTTATAGCAAGGTCTTTGAAAAATTAACGTTGAAAAAAATATGCAGGCTGTCTCTTTTGTGTACACTTTTCCTCCAAAATGAGATGATCATGTAAGGCATGAGAACTGGAAACCAGTCACATGATGAGATAATTTCAGACTTTCGTTCTTCTGAATTTTCAGTGGAGACTATGTTCTATCTCTGATTGACTGATTTTTTTCATCCAAATAAAATGAGGGGGGAGCAGGGGGAAAACATTTAAAAGTCATCAGAATTTATTTAATATTTTTCCCATAATTCCTTCCAGAGTACACCGCCTCCAGCAGGCCTCAATCAGAACGAGATTGCAGCCCAGTTTGCGGCACAAGTGGCCGCCACGTTAAAGCCCGGCATGCAGCACCCTGTTCCCAGGCACCCAGACCACGTTGGCATGGCAACGGCAGAACCAGAGGACCCTACCAAACAAGAGGACGCAGTGCAGCAGCCCACGGTGGCCACCACCACCACCACCAGCGAAGGTGGAACAAACCAAGAGGAAGATGACACACTCCAAGAGAAGGACGTGCCTCAGGAGACCACAACGTCTCCACAGCAGGTCACAGTCCCCACTGCAGCTAGCTCAGACGTTAAAGACACTAAGGAGGTGGCTGCTGCTCAAAGAGCCAGTGAGGTTAAAACGGCGGAAGTCTCTGTGTCTAGCGCCACAGAGGTTGATGTGCCATTGAGCACAGAAAGGACTAGTGCCCCTGTAGAGGGCGATGAAAGGACTAGAGATAGTAGTGCGGTTAGTGGTGAAAGCACAGTTGATGGTGCTGCCCCAAGTAAAGGTGCACCTGCTGCGGCACCAGCCGTGAAAAGGGAAGAAATTGCATCTGTTGTCAAGGAACCAGTAACTGCTGTCCAAGAGACTCCAGTACCAGCAGTTGTTCCGGATGAAGGTTGGTACATTTTATATGTGTGCGCATCTGCTTTTAATATGTTGTGTTCTGGCATGTTTTACACATTTCAGCGTGTGGTTTTTAAGTCTTATCATTTTATACCTCTACTGAAAGAAAAAAAATGAAATTGATTATGCTCGGTTTTCCAAAATATTTTTAAAGGTTTTACTAACATGACTTTGTGTTGGGAAATGAAATTAGTCACAATAAAAAATAATAAATGACACATTCCTTATTTGAACAGATAGATTGGGAAGAGTTTCTTGGTACCCATATATGTGCTGCCACCTTTAAAACAAATTTTAATATCTTTTTCAATCTTTACTTGTTTCTGTTGATGAAGATGTGGTATTTCAATGTTTGTATTGTTACTGATGATGATGGTATGAATATTTAACAGGATTCTTGAAAGTTGAAAAAAGTTTGTTTTATTATTTATAATTTTGTGGAATTATGTACAGAAACATGTAGATAAGTGTTTGTTTGGTCATTACTGGCAAACAGTTGATTTTACATTTAATGATTGTCATTCTGAGTTAGTGTGGCAGTACTCATGGTTTTAGTCCCAACCCATCTCAACATTCACTGTATCATGGTGGAATGTTTTTCTCACTTTTGTGAGTTTCTATTCTCTGGCCATATGTGTCAGTTATAAGTCAATTCAGGGATATAAAGTGGTAAAAGCAGATTTTGATACAATCCACCTGGACTATTGACTTAAGGCTTCATTCACATGCAATGTCTATTTTCTAAATTCTATTTTCTATTCGCGGTATGTCTTATGATCACAGTCTGTGCCCTGAATATCCCACGGCGTAATTACTGGCAGCGCGAGCCAGTAATTACGCGGCGGGATATTCAGTGCACAGACCGTGATCATAAGATAGCGCGAATAGAAAATAGAATTTAGAAAATAGACATTGCATGTGAACGAAGCCTAAGACAGTTCTGTTGGTGCACTTGTTTGGAATATTTTATTAATGGTCGTTGTTGATTTTCTGTTGAAATTGTAAAGTGATGTGACCCATGTTCATGGATAGGCATTAACTTAGTTGATGTGTTCAGATTTCCCAGAGGTTCTATGCACCTTGACGGGGGACAGAAGTGGAATTGTTTGAGCCAACAATAGATAAATTTGGTTGTTCAACCTGTTGGGACTCTAAAAAACGTGGTGTGTCATGTGGCTAATGCATTAGCCAGTTAAGAAATATATTGCTCAAGAAGTGGCCTGTCTGAGACCCATTTTACTAAAGAATGTATGTCCCAAAATTGGCCTAAGTATGCCTTTATCACTGTAAGACTTATTGTTGTAATGATAAAAGATGAAACCAACACCTGGTTTTCCATGGCCAAAAATTACATAAAAACCTTGTCAGCATTATTCAGCTATTTCTTTTAAGCCAGTTCATTTATCAAGTGAGCTAGTCTCCATAGTTCAAAAAATTAAAAAAAGAAAGGTTCTCATAACTTCGCTTATAACCTCAGCCTGTGGCACATATGGAAATGTTGGAGCTGAAATGTTACAAGTGAGCAGTGCACGTAGATTTCAGTCTATGACCTACTTTTTCACAAGACCAGTTCTCTCCATATTGCTTCCATGCGTGACAGATTGCATGCCTGGGTCGCCTGACTGCCAGGGCCCCAGTGAAGAAAGAGAGGCACCTGTTCTCTGTGGAATACATTATTCATATATTCTACATCTGTGGTATGCAGTGATGATGATGATGACCAGGTATTAGTTAGTATAGTAGGACAGCTGTGTGCTCTGTGTAGGAACACCTGATTCTGGCCGTAAGACACCTGTATGTCCAGTCCCCCATACCAGCTGACCTGTGTCCACACATACCTGGCTTTGCTGACCTGAGACTATCAAGTGGCTTGACTGACCCCACCCTGTTGTTGTCTCTGACCGGCGGTCAAGCTGACTTTCCACTGGTGGCGGGAGAAGGAGGTAGTGTCCTGTGTGTGTGTGTGACCAGCCTGCCGTCTCTGAGTGCCACAAGGGCAGGGTTCTCTCTCAGGATTAATATTCTCTCCAAGGGCACTGAGTCACAGGTCACAGAGGCACTGTAGGATAGTGGACATTGCTGTGACACACTGACCTACTGAGTTGTATAACAAGCTGGAAGGATTCCATGTGTGACCACAGGTGACTGCCTCGCCATATGGACACATATTACACCCTCAGTTTTGAGAGTACTACTCCAAGGTGACTGGAAAGCTGCTGTTACAGGACCCATAGTTGACAACAGTTTATATGCCACTGCAGCTTGGAGGAAAGGACACTGCACATGTGGCTGCTGCAAACTTCTTAGTTTATTGAGTAGGGGCTTGGAAACAACCCTCTTAACATTACCAAGACTTTGAAGGTGACTTGGGCTAGTATAGTGTGTTGTTGACCTACAGTGTGGTGTTGACCTACAGTGATCTCCCCACAGCGTGGCCCAGCTGCTATGCCTGCCACATGGAGTACTGGAGTAGGAGCAGGGCAGCTCTCTCACAACTCAAGTAGGTCACGGTGGTTGGCATGTTGACCTTGACACATGTTGACCTTATCCCATATGTTGACCTTTTGGTTCAGTTTTAGTAGTTTCCCCAGGTACGTGACTAGTTTTGGGTATTACCATATGGTTTTAGTGAGGTGTAGGGATAATGTCACAAAATTGTTATATTGCATAAAAAGTTGTGATTATAACTTCTGTTAATTCATTGATGAAATGAAGGCACACTTGTCTTCTCTGATTTCTCATTTGATGTTTCTCTCCGAGAAAAGCTGTTGGTGTAATGCACTCGCATTTGTCTGTTAACCTAATGTGAGATCGTGACCTTCTGTGGGATGTTGTTCTTCAGTGGGATATTGACCTAGAAAGGATTATTTCTTAAATAATGGTGTGGAATTCCAAGGAATTTTGTCATATTAGAACATTGGTCTGTTTTTTAAGGGCTAGAAAATAAACTAAATAATTTATGAATTTTGCTTTTCAACTGCTGATCTTAGAATGGTAGTAGTCTGTGCTGTTCATATGGAATTAAGAGGTTAATATAATCTGCTTTACTTGACGGTCATTGAACAAGGCAGCAATTGTTTTATAACATGTCATTTAGTATACAGAATGGAGAGTATAGCCAGTGTAATAGAATCTATATCCAGACCGACAAACTCGTGATAACATCTCCATTAAGCAGGATCAACCTCCATGATGGGATATTTATGAAGCATATTGCTTTTCACAAGCGATTACAGGCTGTTAACAGAGAGTGAAGCATGTCATGTAATACAACCAGGATAAACTGTAATGTGCTTTATCTCTGTGTGGAAGGAAATTAGGCATTTACGAGATTTAAGTAGACAAGGACATGCAGTGTTACCGAGTTACAGGGATTGAAGCATGTAGTGTAATAATGACAAGATAGAGCGTAATCTGTGTCACAGAGAAAAGTAGGGTATTAACTGTATTTGACTGACGATTACTAGGTTAAGCGGAAGAATGATTGAGATGTACAGTGTAACCGAGTTAGTATCCAGAATAAATTATAATGGTTTCCATGTCCATCATGTTGAACTGAGTCAGCTGATACTATTCTCATGTGTTCTATCCTTCATAGACAAGGCAGGTGAGAGTGTGGACGCAGATTTTTTTTGGGGAGAGGCTGCTGACAATTTAAAACTCTCCTGCAGGTGTAATTAGCACTGTTCCCCAGGTATTTTTCTCTGTGGTGGTGGTTCTGCCGAGGTGCCCCAGGGGAGGAAGGGCACTTCCACAGCACCTGTTCACATAGGAAGCTGGTCATTAGATAATTCAATTTCCCCCTCGGGTGCCCCCAACTGATATTGTAGGAGCATTGCCTGGAAGTAGGTATGCTTCCATATATGAAAAGTGGAACAGGTGAAAATCTCACGCCTTTTTCCTCTTTCTCTATCTCTCCCAATATTTTATTCACTACAGAAGAAAACATTTGGAAGAAAGAGTGAGTGAGGAGAACCATTTTGTGAAGTCGTGTTGTATGGGAAATAAAATGAGATGTTAAATATTTTCCGTGACTGATCCAGACATGAGTCTGACTGTATAATCCAAGCAAGATGACATTTGAGGTGTTGTTATGTTAGGGTGAGAGGATGGATGCGCCTGCTGATTAATTAACCATTTCCCACACATGCCGTCCCCACCTGCAACTGTAAACTGGGGCCAGGCACATCATCACAGGGCCCGGGGCCATGGATGACTAACACGTTCATCCAGATCCACCATGTTGTCTGTCTGAACTGCTGGCAGTGGTGCCCTGTGAAGTGGATTGCGTAACACAGCTCTATGGCTGTAGTGAGCTCTCTCTTGCCCTAAATAGAGATCAGAGAGTGTCAGGCTAAAAATATGCTGGGTTTGGAGATAGCAGTGCAGCAACTCGGCAGCCTACACCTACTGTAGCCTCTCTGGTTCTCTTTCTCTGCACCTATACTTGTTGATGTAACCAGGGAGTCTTGTGTATAGAAGAGGTGGAGGTATGTACTAACTCTGGGCAGGACTTATCGCCCCAGCCCAGGGTGAGAGGGGACGGCCACCACCAAGCCCACCGTTACCAGTGTGATTTCCCTGTGACATGGTCCCAAGGCCTGTGTCTGTGTGGTATCGAGTTTGGGAGCTGTCTGGCAGCTTGTTAACAACATCTACATCGCAGCTACTGTGTTTGTGCTGGACTCCAGTGAAGGAGGATTAAGTTACGGAAATGAATCGTGGCAAGAGGAAAAGCAAAAGCAAGGGTACGTGAGGACAGGCTTAGAAGGTTTATTCCAGCGTGTTTTATTTTTTTTCTTTTTCCATGTTAAGTTTTTCTCCTTGTGGTTCTTGGTGATTCAAAGCCCTTGAAGAGATGGAGAAGATGAGAAGGGAGAGGTAGCGGAAAACCACAGGTAACTGCTGGAAATACCTTGCAAGGAATGTAAGAAGAAAGGTATTGAAAGGCTTCGTAGCAGGCTTTATACTAGGGCTTGAACTCGGGAGGATTGTTTTGAACCTGAAGTGAAAGGAAAAAAGAGGTGCTTTATGCTGTAGAAAATAAGTTTTTTTTTTCTCCCAGAGAAATGGGTCAACAGGTCTGTTTACTGAAACCATATGTGATTACAGATACTTAAAGACTCATGGCTGAGTGGGGAGTATTTTGGTTTTACTAACATGTGAAGTATACCCAAAAAATGTGTCTATGGACTCGTTATGTCAAGATGTCTATATCAGCTTGTGTCAGCTGAAGTTTGCCAAGGAAAAGGAAGAAGAGAGGTAAAATAGGTGCCAAGTGTGTCATTAGCCGACTAAAAAAAGGAGGAATCTGATGATTTACAACTTGGATCATGTAATTTGTTGATTATGTCAAAGGAAGGAATACAAGAGGAAATGAAAAGTTGTTCTTAGTGTGTATTCCAGTTATTACAGATGGAACTGCTTTCTGTGTGGGAGTATACTCAGAGGAAATTTGAGGGGGGGGGGAATCACTGGTCAACCCTTTGGTCAAAGTGGCTGTATGGAGATGACCTCAAAGATTATTTCTGGACTCTAACTGAATGTTTTGCTATCACAGGGTAGCTGCTGGAAAATAGATTAAAAAATGCCAAGAAATTTAGGTGGAAGCTCTCAGGTGATGAGGTGCCCCAAGAGATGCCGACAGGACTCTGGAAGTTCTACTGCTCCTAGGTTCTCCACAGAAACTGTTTGTGTTTTTCACTGGTTTTGATAAGGGCTTATAGTCATAACATCCTGTTATATAGGTGTTTTTTAACCTTGATCTTGATAAAGTGGGGTATGTTAAAACTGGAGCAGACCAGACTGATATTGAAGGATAAACAAAATGTTTGCTCTGTTATTAATTCACTCATGGTAAATCATGGCTGCAGATGTGGATTTTCCAAGATTTTTAAAATTTATTAAACCCTTAGACGTGAATTAAAACCAAAATGGGGGAGGGGGGGTCAGATTATGTTTAATAATATCCAAGATGGCTGCAATTTTCTGTCTCATCGAGACATGGTGATGACAGATGTAGGTTATCTCAAGATAAGAAACGAAAAGGGAGATATTTAGTCTAATCAACTGGTCGTGTGATGTTTATGGCAATGTTTAACCAACATTTTCTGTTTGAAATTGCATAACATTTGATAATAAAAATGTATCACATTTTAACTGCAACCCAAAATAACATTATACAGAACTATTCTATTCAATTTTTTTAGAATTTTTTTAAAGAAAAAAATTGTTCCTGGATATGTAGTTTATTGTTGTGACATTGGCTGTTATTGAGAATGTGTTGAATATTGTTCCAGCACATGTGTAAACAAGTATGTACCAGTATATGTGAGTAATACCTGTGGTGAAGATAGTGAACTAAGGTATTCAGGATGACACTTGAATACATAGAGCTAGAGAGATAAGGAAAAGTGACCGACTGGGTTATCTATTCTGTGTGAATTGTTATGGGAGAACAGGTATAGAAAGCATGCAAATGAAATCTGATGAGTGTAGGGATAGGTGTTATAAGGAAAATATGTGGAGGAGAATGTATAAAATGATGAAAAGAAATTCTTTTACCGTGACTTGTAAATAGCCTAATATTCTAGTCATATCAGCACAGAGAATTACTGTAGGGAAAAGATAGGGAAAAAATCAGTGGTGTTGGAAATTGAGGTTTGTAGATAGGCTACAGGATTCTTTTCATTGCAGAGGCAGTAAAGAAAGTTAACCTGCTTTTCAGGCCAAATCAGACCTGTGGTTGTATCTTAGGTCAAAACTTATTTGACAGTGGGCTTGTGTCATTGGTCCATGATATTGGAAATGCAGTCCAGGATTTTGATTACCAGTGGTCAGTTTACCTTGACCAGCCATATGTTAAAGTTGCCCCATCTCCTCATAGTAAAGAGTTCTGCTTTGATACAATTAGATAAAGATGGAAGGGGGAAACAGGTGAACCAGTGCTTGATATTTGGTATAAAGGTCACCTCTTGATGTCTTATATAAATGTAAGATGAATATTGAGCACTATGTGGAATATTCATCAAGACCCACAGTGTGCCAAGCCTGGGCATTCACTTCCCATTAAGAAGCATTAAGGTACAATTAGGCAGATAATACTGCAGATAGCACTTAAGTTTAGCATATATCTGTTCAGTGCTGGTATGTCACACACCAAGGTAAGATGTAGCTTGGAGAATGTTTTTCTAGTGTCCTAATTTTTTGAGCTGAGTAAGCTTTTAGACTGCTAAAATAAGAAAGACGACTAAGGAAAGTTATCTGTGTGATATTGGTTGTAGTTTCCCTTTTTTAATTTTATTTTTAATGCTTGGTTCAATAAGTACATCTGTCATACCTAAATCGGCTACGTTTACCACAGAGAGTTTACTAGTAGTCAGCTAAGTCTTCCTAGGCTGAGATTTAAGCCCCCAAAACTGGCTTTAGACTTGGTTAACTGGGTCTTGGGATACATCAGAGAGAGTTTAGTCAGCTAAGTCTTCGTAGGCTGATGTTTAAACCCCAAAAACTGGCTTTAGACTTGGTTAACTGGGTCTTGGGATACATCAGAGAGAGTTTAGTCAGCTAAGTCTTCGTCGGCTGATATTTTAGCCCCAAAAACTGGCTTTAGACTTGGTTAACTGGGTCTTGGGATACATCAGCATATGGTTTCTCTTCTCTTTGTAGAATGTACATCTTTTTGATGTTCCATGCAAAAAGTAATGGATGGTATTTTCATTAGATATATATCTGTGTTATGATCTTAATTGCCAGTCTCATGAAAGGATGGAAGTATTCCTATTAGTATTGGAATTTTGAATTCCTGTTTAAAACGTACCCTAGGTGAGAAGTTATATGAAGTCATCTTGTACTCCTATGAAGGTTTTATTATTCTTTTTAACAGTTTTATATTTTAAGGAGTGTTTTCATTTTAGGTATTTAATACTTTTTCTTTCACCAGCATGAGGTTGCGTAATTTGCTGTAAAAGAAGTCACATGTAGCATTACTTTTACTTTGCCACAGGAAGATGAGATATCTTAAGAATATGCACGTGAAGTGAAAAAGAAAGATTCTTTTAGCACAAGTATTTGGAATACTTTATCAAGTACCTCTTAGGATTTGGTTTTTGTTTTCTTATTGCAGTGCATGGTTTCGTTTTCACAAAGACTTTCTATGCAGTCATCAAGAAATAAATAAGTACTGTATTATGATGTAGGTATCTGTAGATACCCTTTTCTTCATGAAAATAAATCATAAATATTGTACAGTGATACATAAACATTATCCATTTCTAGGCCGGAAGGCGTCCCTGACCAGGAAGCAGAAGCAGCCAGAGCCGAGCCAGAAGGCAGAAGACAGGCCAGGAACTGACCTGGACGCCTCTGACATGGATCAGGTAGGGATGGGGCTTGTATTGGGGGGACAGTGGCGACCTCCATTGGGAAAGTGACTTTCTCTTGGTGAACATTGTTTGGTTAACTTTACTTTGGGAAATATTTATGTGCAGTCATTTTAAAGGAATATGACTCTTAGCTAGCCAGAGTATCTTGTCTGAAGTTGTTACTGATATGAAATGATATTAGGCTTTCATATAAAATAATTGCACCTGAAAAGCTTCTCAATGCTGTATCACCTCAGTGTTCACGAAACTCCAGACTTGGAACTCCTTATTTAGTCTTCTATGCCCCTATCACATGCTTAATACAAGTGAAGAAATTTGAAACTGTCATGAGGAAAACCACAAAAATCCCATGGAGATTAGATCACTCTGTTTGTATTTAGTTTGTGAGCCAAAAACACCAGTTGTCCCTACAATCGTGGTAATATCGCCAGGAAGTTGTTATGTTACAGATTTTTGTAGAAAGTGGATAAAATAGCAAATCTACAGTTGGATATTTCCTTGGAGATTGTACATATTACTGTGTTAATAGATACAATTTGTTTGTTCCCATTAAAAAAGATAGTCGATGAAAAGAGATTCCTGTCTCAGATTTCATCAAAAAAATAGTCATCCACATTATTAAAAATGTCAGTCTTTTGGTTAGGTAAATGGTAGAACATAATAGAATTTTCCCTTGAAACATCATTCAACATGTCTGCCTTTTCCCAGCATGCACCAGTCAACATGTCTTCTCCCCTGTGTTTCAGGCCTCCACTTCCCAGCAATCCTCAGCTGACCATGACAACTCCAGTAGTACTCCAGTAGTCAACAATATAGACAAACAACCACCACCCCCAGGGGAACAGAAGGGAGAACACAAGTCCAGACCAGAAACTAAACAGGGTCCTCCTCTGTCGGAGATTAGTTTACCCGCAGAAATGGTCAAAACTGACTCCAGTGCATCACAAGGTCTTCAAGGTCTCAGTTTACCCGCAGAAATGGTGCGAACGACGACGGCGGTGGCAGATCAGCCTACAAAAGGGCTGTCTGGCCTCCAACTTCCTTCAGAAATGATGCGGTCGTCAGAATCGACTAAAGAAGTCGCAAATGTGGAGCCCGAGGAAAAAGGAGACTCTGTAAAAAGCAATGCAAAAGCGGATGATAAAGGTGACCCAGCCTCGGTGAGGCAGGTGGAAATTGAGGTGGTTGAGAAAGACAATGAAAATAATGTGGCGGAGGAAAACCAGAAAAATAGTGCCAAAACATTGGAGAGTCAACAGAAAGGGGATCAGGCTCCTCCCACTCCAGAGCTCAAATATGAATATAAAGAAGGTAGGCAGTATATATGGGTATATGGGGTTAAGTGCAGGCATTTACAGGAATTGTTTGTAGAATTTTTGGCTCTTGTGAGAATGGTGATTTACTCTGGAGGACTGACAACTTGAATCACCTTTGAGACAAACCTTAAAAGAGGAAATGAATTTGATGCACATTATTTGAGCATCGATTACGGAAAGTACTTGCAGTATTCAAAGTGATGTAATTGATTATATTTCACAAAGCAGTCTTGCCAGTATTTCTAAGAAAAAATGAGCATTCATTCATTAAAAAAGGGAGTTTGTATTATATTTAAAGTTTCATCCAGTGTCTGAAGAATTATGATTAAACTGGAAAATACAAGATATTGAAAGCAAGGTGTTTGGAATGAAGTTATTTAATATTACAGCTTAATATCGAAATAGTATTACCTCCAGTGTTTCTCTGACTAAATATACTAAGGTGTTTAGAGTTTGTGAATTATTGTCAGTTACTTAACACATTCTCGAGAAATAATTGTGGAGATGAGTTCCTCTATATATTGATGAGGATTGAAGATTGGCTTGTCTTCTATTTTCAGACCAGTGGAGCCCTCTGAACCCAGAAGGGAAGAAGGAATACGACAGGGAGTTTTTGCTGCAGATGCAGTTTTCTAGTGACTCCCTGACAAAGCCAGAAGGCCTCCCAAAACTCCCTGATGTGATATTAGAACGGGTAAGTTTAGGCCGCATTCAGAATTGTGGGCTAACTTGTCCATTGGACAAATATGGCCGTGCACTAAAAAGCTTGATGTCTAATCTGCTACTAGACACTTAAGTGGATTCCTCCTGCGGGGAAGTATTCAAATGGGTCAGCCATATTTGACCCTCGGACTAGTCAGTCCACTGTTCTAAGTGCAGCCCTAGAATATGTGGTACACAAGTGAATAATAATGGGGAAATTAAAAAAAAAAATTATATCATTTCCAGTTTTAAACATTGGGACAATGGGTGATCAATAAGTGTCATGCAAAAGAGTAACTCAACTTCCCAGTTATTTTTATCTTAAAGTTTCTAAAAATAGAAGAAATGGGGTTCACCAAAAACTCTTTGTGTGTGAAGCTAACAAAAGCGTGTCAGGGATTTTCATCTACAGTTTTATTTCTGTCACATATTTATAGTCACAATCCTCTTCAATAAGTCATCTTGTATTTCACCAAGATATTGACGTCATAACTGATTGTATAAGCACTTTTTTACATAAAGAACAGCTTTGTGTATAAGGAAGCCTGTCTGATGTAACATGATGCAAATACTTTTATAATCCTAATCCAATATTAATATCTGTGACCTTTCTACAGAAGCCATGCCATTGGAATGACTCTTTGTGTGTGTATATATATATTTATATGATGTGAATGGTGTATGATGTATTTCCAGCCTCACAGTTGCCCAGTGAAGGGAAGTCACACTGTGTGTGTGTGTGTGTGTGTGTGTGTGTGTTAACATACATGGTGTGAATTGTGAGTAACCTGTGTATTATGTTATATTTTCAGCCTCACAGTCGCCCAATGAAGGGAAACTTGTACTCCGGTGCTCACAGTGGAGGGGTGGACTTCACCCCCGGGTTCGTCAAGTCTGCCGTCTCTCCCAGGGGTCCTGGAGGGGTGAGTTGGTCTAGAAATGTACCCTGGATATTCAGGGTGCTTTTTTTTCATTCTTTTTTTTTTTTTTTTTTTTTCCTCTTGTTTTTGCTGCTTGAGATGGGGTTTGATTATAAGATTTGTAGCCTTTTATGGAAGCTGATGATGAGAAAAAGTTATCCCTGTCAGAACAACAGGTGTTGAAACGTGAATTCCTCGTTTATGAAGCTTCTTAAAAAATTAGCATGTTAGCTGCTTTCTTACAACCTCGTTAACCAGTGTAGAGAGATGGCTTTTGAGTGAATAAGAATTTTTTTTTGCTTAGATTTGGGGAAATCTGTTATTTGTTGAAAGTTTCCCTTAATGATCTTAGTTCATGATTTGGTCTACACGATGTGTGTTTTGCCAACTATATGTTGGTAAGTCCCCAGCATCCTATTTAAAAGGAAAAACTAAATGAATAATAGTTCTGACTCTTGCTAAAATGGTGGGAACAGAATTGTTAAAATGTCTTACAGAGATTTTTTTAAAAATCTACTTGGGAAGGGGGGTCACTTATACAATTCACATCTGCATTTCTTATTTCCCTGCTTTTTATGTACAGACACAGATGTGTCTGTACATATTGCCATCACCTGCGTCTGTCGTCGCCGATGCCGATGCCGATGCCGATGCCGTCGCCGTGCACTTTCCTTGTAAACACGATAAGTGGAAGGCAGTTTTACTTTTTGGCTTTATATTTACAGAGCTGATGAATATTCATAAAACGCAGGTCAAGTTTGAAAATCAGCATGATGGGGCCATTATTTTAGTAGTTATGCTGTTTTTTCATTGTTCAGCATATATGCAACACTGTAAACACAATA